CGGTCGCCGCGGGGCTGGGAGGAGGAGGAGGCCCCGCCCCGCGCCCCGCCCTCTCGGCCCCCCCTGGTTCCCCCCCAGACCCGGGCGCCTGGCCAGGACCTCCCACTTCCCGGAGAGGACCTCCCAGCACTTGGCCTGGAGCGGGGCTCCCTCTGCCCCCAGCCCCGGGCTGTCGGGCTTTGGCTCTGGCTGACCAGCAGGTAGCTCGATCGACCAGTCCGGTCAGTGTGTCCTCAGCTGGGACCTCGGCAGACAACGGAGGACCCTCTCCTGCTACTTCTGACCAGGAGCCTCGTTCTTGCTATGGCCAGTGGCCTGGGCTTGCCTCGTGGATTTGACCTAGCTGACCCCAGAACAACCCCTGGCCTACACTGGCCTCTCCCAATACAACCAGCAGTGCCCAGCCTGACCGGTGGCCTAGTATGGCTTCTCCCAGTATGCCCTGGGAAGCCCTCCCCTGTGGCCAGTGATGTGGGCTGCTTTCCTGTCTGACCAGTGGCCTGTAACCCTTCAATTTAATCTCGTATATTTAATGGTCCCCAAACCCCAGTTCTGCACAGGCCTCTGTGATGATGGGGTGGGGGGACTGTGGGGTGCTCTCACCTTGGCCCTCTCCTGTAGGGCCCTTCCTCTCTTTCCCCCATCCAGGGAATCCCTGGAATGCCACCCCCGCCTTCCTCCCTCCCTCTTCCTTTTACTTCCTCCCTATCTTGGGGGGAGGGGAGGAGAATCAGGCTGGCAGAAGCAGGTGAGCGGATGAGGGGAGGAGGCCAGGGCACCTGAGAGAAGGGAGGAAGAGTGTGGCCATGGGTCAAAAGGAAGGGTCACAGGTCACATTGAGGGTCACAGATCAGAGTTCCCAGGCTCCTCACAGGCCAGGTTGGACTGGGCAAAATCGCCGGACTGCTGGCTGGGGGAGCCAGGGGTCAGGAGATGTCCCTGGTTGCCAGGGAGAAGTTAAGCCTTGGACACTGGTCAGAAAGGGGGTGGGGGCAGCTGGTCATGCTGGGAGAGGTGCCCCAGGCCTCTGATCAGTCTGGGAGGCGCTGGTGAGACCGGGCTCTGCCCATTAGACACAGGGAGAAAGCTCAGATTACAGGTCCAGCCGGCAGTCAATTGGGCAAAGCTCCTTTATCCATTGGCGGTACAGGAAAGCATTGTCCCACCGGGAGAGGTGAGCTTTTAGCAGTAACCACACCATTCCCTCCTCCAGGACGCCCTCCCTGCTCCCCTGGCTGGGTCAGGTATCCCCTCTGGGCTCCCCTGCCTGTCTTGCCCACTCTGGGTCATCCCTGTCTGGGAATGGGCCTGTCTCCCGCACTGGACTATGAGTCCGCGAGGGCAAGGCCAGGGCCCTCTCGGGCACTACTGTGTCCCTAGCTCAAGGCCAGAAACAGAGCAGGTGCTCAGGGAAGGTTTGCAAAGCTCAAACGCAGGAGCACACAGGTTCACCTGCGGGACCCACCCAGATTGGGGCATCGCGGGACACATGATACAAACACGAATGCAGTCACACTCTCAGACGAGCTCATGCACTGTGAACCCAGACACCCACTCCCCAGCCCTTCCACCCAGGCTTGGGCACTTCCTGCTCTCGGACCGGACCCCGGTAGGCGCTGGTATCAGCTACCCACCTTCCACTTTCCTCAAGAACCGAACCCGCTGAGGTTCTAGGCGAGGGAGGGCTGTATGGAGTGTGCATGAGGGAGCCAAGTCACAAATACCATCCACGGTTCCTGGCAGACTTGCAGAAACTAGTACGGTGTGACATCACCTGTCCTTGTCTCCTATAATTTATTCCCACAAAATAGCCAGAGAGATTCCATTAAAATGTGAGTCAGCTCGTTTGACTCTCCTGCTCAGAATTCTCCCCTGGCTCCCTTCACCGAATAAAAGCTAACGTCTGCTCTACCGCTCACAGGTCCCCGATCTGGTCCTCGTTACGTCTCTGACCCCCTCGTCCTCTCTTCCTATCTCTGCTCTCGCTATGTCGGTCTCCCGGCTGCCGAGCTGTTCCTGCACCGACAGGCCTGTTGCAGCCTCAGGGCCTTTGCACTGGCTTCCCCCTCTGCTGGGACATTCTCCTCCCACATACCTGCTTCTAATCTCTACGCCAAATTAACACCACCTCATCAAAGAGCTTCCCTTGACCATCCCCCCTAAATAGCCACGCCCTGTTTCCATTATCTTAACTGCGTTTTTCTCCGCAGCACTTACCACTGCTACGTATCCTTTGTCTTGTACAGAACGTAAGCTCCCAGTGGTTTTGTTCATACTGCACCTCCAGTGCCTAGAACAGTGCTTGTCACGAGCCGAATGCAAGTTCGATGACTTAATTTCCCAGTTCTATCTTTGCTGTCTCTCTGCACATACTTACACATGTTAGTTAAAGAGCCTCGTCTTTTCTCCACCTTTATCCATTACTCTCCACGTGACGTGCGATGGTTAACTTTAAAACTAGTTCACAGCTCGTGGAATACGGGATCATGAGACATTTCAGGGGGGACGGCTACTCCCCAATGGTTCCAGGTTTACATCTGGAAAATGTAGTTATTGAGAGGTTGCGTTGTCGTGTGTGTGTGGCGGGGTGGGGCGCGGTGTGGATGTTTGGACAAGGGGTCAGATAGAAACTTTTGGGGGAAGAGTGGAAGTACAGGACGAAGGATACAGACTGACGTGGAACGTTCAAAGGGGTGGACTGTAGTGGACTCTCGGGGAGAGGACTAGCTAGCGTTTGCACCCCCTTCCCAGTTAGAAAAATCCTGGCCGTCTGAAAGCCTGTAGTGTCCTCTGCTGGAGGTAACGAGGATGGATGTGTTGCCTGCCTCTGTTGGCGCTAAGGTGACCTTGGCGCATCCTTGGGAATCAGGGTTAATAGCGCCAAAGCAGCATGGACCAGTTGGGACCAATATGGCCGCTGGGACCAATTCTATTTTCCGAAGAGAGCTGCGACAATCTCTCATCTCATGCCACCTGCTCCTCTACCCTCTGATCTTGACACGCTCCCGGAAAGTGGCGTCCGTGTCCCCTCCTCTCAAATCTGTCCAGTTGTGTGACTCGCATGCCAGGATGAGGTAGAAAAGCCAGGAAGCTTTCTGCTGGGGTGACCGGGATACTGTCCACGAGGCCTTCAATCACCACCAAGCAGTCCGAGTCCCCGGAGGCAGCCATGTTGCAAGGAAGCCCAAACTAGCGAGTGTGAGACCCCACGGAGAGGGCGGAGGCTGCGGAGGGACACCTGTCCAGTCAGTCCCCAGCTGCACCATTTGACCACACCCTGAGCCAGAACCACCCGACCAAGCCCTTCCCCAAATCCTCGCCCAAAGCACCTAAGAGAAATGATAACATGATTGTTGTCCACCAGTAAGTGTTCATGATTTGTTCCGACCAAGAGCGAGCAGGCACGGCCTGTTTCTGGGGCAGCAGAGGCAGCCAGATGACTAGTGCCCAGAGGTCATCAGGCACCAGTGTATCCTCACCAGACCGGTTCTGTGGCGTGATCACGGCCAGGCCATGGTCGGAGGCCAGCTGCCAGCGTTCCCGTTCACTTTCCAATCCTGATTCTCTAATCGCTTCCGGGATTCTGTGAGTGAGCCTAAGTCCTTTCAATCAATTTCCTTTCTGCCCCAGAGGCGGCATCTGTTGCTTGGAACTCAATCTGTGATGCACATTTCCAGCTCCCTTTATGCTGGAAGACATTTTCGGTCTCGGCTTGGATGTCTCCTCTTCCTGGAAGCCCTCCCTGACCCCCCCAGGCTGCATCGGCTGCCCGCTCTGGGCTCCTGCAGCCCCCCCGAGCTCTCCCGTTCCGGTTTTGCCCATTCTGATTGTCACCGCCTGGGGACAGGTCTGTCTCCCCCACTTGACTGTGAGCCCAGGAGGACAGTGATCACTGCCTCACACCCAGCATTGCCCAACCTGGGGCTGGGCACAGGGCAGGGGCTCGGGGAAAGCGGACTGGTTTCAACTAAATTGGAGGGAGGTTTGGGTCCCTCTGGGATTAGTGATGAGGTGGGAGACACTTCCTCAGCTTTCTCTGGACCAGAAGTCACTTACTCTAAAAACAGAGAGAGGGATGGGATGACTCTCAAGGAAATGAGGGGTCTTTTTGCCTAGTGGACTTAAAACTTGGATGTCTAGGTCTGGGTGCAGGAATTTTTTTGCCATGATGAGGAAAGGGGGTTGGCTGCCTGATTCTCTAAGAATTTGGAACTTGGGACTCCTGGATCCGAGGGAGGAAAGGTCAGGGGGCCCAGCCTCCTGGACCCGAAGGAGCTGATCCCCCCAATCTTGGCTCTCTGGTCCCAGACACCAGCGTTATGGTCAGGCGGGGCTCAGGCCGTGGGGACCGCCGGTTCCCGGTGCCAAGCTGCCCCCTAGTGGCCGCTGCACTTTCTCCACACACCAGAGGGCAAAGGCTTGGCAGTTTATTTTTGCTTCACCACCCCTTCCAGCCCCTGGGGCTCCCTTTAGCAGCACATCTCGGTGCCCTGTGAGGTGGAAAGAGAGGTGGTTTAGAGAATATCACATCCAGATGGCGGGGGGGGTGCAGCGCAGGAGGGAGGGAGGGAGGGAACCCGGCAGGCAGGGGACTCACCTGGCCTCCAGGCCTGGGCAGTGGTCCTAGGCCCCACGGGGGCAGCTGGAGGGGTGACTTTCCCTTTAGGAGTTTCTGCAGTGGGGTGAGTTTGAGGGGGCTGTTGGCTTCTTAGGACCGGTGTTTGCCTTCTGCCCCCACGCCTTCTTCCCTTCGACCCAGGGGCACCCATCTGCCCTCTCCACTTACCCTGTGGCTCCCTCCCTGGCCTGGGGCCTGGAGGTGATTTCCCATGGGACTGAGGCTGCAGTCCTGCTTCTTGGCAAAGTAAGAGGGGCCCGAAGTCTGGGGAAGGCCTGGCGGGAAGGAGAGCAAGGACGTTTACAGCGAGGTGCGGCTGTGCTTCATTTCACGGCCCAGGCAGGGGTGACACGGGGGGTGGCGGGTTGCGGGGGGCAGTGGGAGAGGGTCTTGTTCTCAGCTCACGCTCTTTTCCCTCTAGTACCTCTGGCTCGAATAGGAAGAAGTTTTAATTGTCCATCTATCCATCTACCCATCCCTTCACTCATCCACCCACCCATCCATCCATCCATCCATCCTTCGTTCCATCCATCCATCCATCCATCCATCCATCCATCCATCCATCCATCC